TTTTAATTCATTAACAATGTTTTTTAAACTCTAAAAAATATTCAATGCAAGTTTCTTGTATTCTTAAAGATATTTATTAACACGAATACGTTCGCTATTGATGCTACAAGCATTTATTCCATGACAAAAATAAATAATAGAAAATATAATAAAATCTATAATTTAAAAAATGGACATTAGCAATCGTATTCTATATAATTTATTTTCGTAAATTAGAACTAAATACTGTAAGTGACGTATGGGGGTGAAGCAAGTGTGCAAGTTTTCTTGAGCTCCAGAATATCCTTCCCACACTTTTTATAGTTGAATAATTAATAAAGGAACCAACAGCGCGAAGTTAGCAACATAAGTTAACTAGACATTTCCGCACCAGTCATTGATAACTCATTTTCATCGGTAAACAAACTACGGATTTGATTATACAGTACAGCTAGCAACGCCACTCCTCCGTCACTACACCTTGAAGTGCATTGCTTGTTACAGGCTTATGTAGTATTTTTTAAATTTTTTTTCAATACAAATGTTAATTAATACATTATATAAAACTGTTCAAATGAATATTATTTTTCTTTTTGATGGTCAGTATAAACTCGATTTGCATAGGGTCAGTTATGCAGCTGAAACTATTTTATTTAGACCTTAAATTTGTGTACCTACTTTAATTATTTAATGTAATCTGTCATTTGAAAAGTATCATACATGTATTGTATATGAAATTCTTACATATAGCTGTTGATACTGAAACGTGATAATACCCATATGACGTGTGTTATGATAAACATGTTTTGCGTGAATATTATTAAGTACAGATGTCAATTAATGCATTTCACACAGTATATCATGGTAAAAGAAATATTCCCCCCTAGGTGTCCCACCCCTATGTGTTCCCATCCCAAAGTAAGTCAATTTTGTCAGAAACTAAAAATTTGAAAATAAAAAAGCAAGACAATGATAATATTCCACGGTCAATTAAGAGACAATTGCAGGAATCACGTGGCTAGCATATGCATATTATTCGTACAATTTTTCTCTCAATATAAAAGTGCGGGTACTACAGCATGCACTTCCCCTGAATGCATAACAAAATGAACTTAATGTAACATTCAATTCATTTACATGGATATTCTATTTGAGGTTCAAAATATTCTGCTCCTATTTCATTATTTTTGACAGTGGTATAATTACATTCTTCGAAATGCGTTTGTATTTTGGAATGTAGATATGGAAACTGGGTGATACGTTAATCTGTTTAGAAATGAAGTTTCGTGTGCGCCGAGGAGGCTGCAGGTCTGAGTCGTGGTCATATTTGTGATTGTCCCCCTCTCATCTGCATGCAATCTCCTCATAATTCATAATTCAAGGCGTAACAACCTTGTCTTACCAAGAGATTACCAAAGGATCACCTACACAGCCGAGAAGCTGATCCCCATAATGCCACACGTTAATCTCTCTCCCTCTCTCTCTCTCACCCCCTCTCTCTCACCCTCTCTCTCTCTCACCCCCTCTCTCTCCCTTTCTCTTTCACTATCTCTACTCTCTCTCTCTCTCTCTCTCTCTCTCTCTCTCTCTCTCTCTCTCGAATAGAATATGACGGAACAGAAGGAGGTCACGGAAGAGAACGTGTAGCGTGGTCAGAAATGGCCGATATTATAATAATATTTGGAAGACACCGCTTCAAATTTTATAATCGCACTGAAATATTGGTAACAAATTAGACCTGAAATGTCTGGTTAAAGAATGAAAAATATACAGCAAATCTAACTTTAAAGAGATAATTCCATTGCACGAGGGAAACAGAAGGTCGAGTGCAAACAACAAGCACACGATGACAGCAATATCGATCTCTCGACTAACAGCAGGTGGGCACGACAACATTCCGGGCATTGCGTCGCGTCGCCTCGTTTCTGCTTGCCAGAAACCCTATCTGTTGCAACGATGGACAGCTGTCCGTCTACGGCATGGCCTGCGCAATGTGATTAAGCCAGTGTAATAAAGATGAATACAGGACCCAAGCACGATCAGAGAAGTGGAGAAGATGAGGAAAATGGTCGGCAGAGGCATGACGTTGTTATTTTTCTTATAATGAAGTTGTACTTCTTGTCATTCCTCTTATAATTAGAGGAAAGAAGAACCTCTTTTCGCTGGGAAAACACCTAAAGACCAAAAACATGGTCAGGAGTACAAAAAATAGCAAGAGTGAAGTAACAATAAAAAACTGGAAAAATTAGCGCCAAGAGTGAAAA